CAAATGGGATGAAAACATTATTGTCTTTGATTGCATGCCTTACATCATCCCCTGTATATGTCGGAGGTAGAGGAGCATGCTTTATCTTTAGCTGTTTTATAAATATTTAAGCCCTTACAGTTGCCTAAAGATATTAAAGCATATTTTTTACAGGGGCCTGGAATAATAAATATTATATGTAGTACAAAAGACACCACAAAGGGCTTTAATGAATTCGTAATTTCCTCTTCACTTTTTATTGGAATATAGTTTATGTTCCAAGCGAACCTCTTAAAGGATAGGACCCCAGCTCGCTTGCAGACAGCACAGGAACTAATGGTAAATGTTATTGGAGCTGTTTTTTTAAAAAATAAAATAAAAAAATGGAATGGAATTCATATAAAAGGAGTCCTGGGAATTTCAAGAAGAAACTTCTCAATCATTCTTGTGTGTGTGTGTGTGTGTGTGTGTGTGCAAGCAAGTAAATGACATTGAGGGATTGAGGTTCTTAATCAAAGCCTTCGAAATACCATAACTTGGAACGATCTATATTAAAACCCATTGAGTACTTTTGTTTTTGTTTTTTTAACTCTGTGGACTTACCAACTCTTTACTTGCTTCAGTCCCTTTGTGGATTGATCTAGTGACTCACAGATCTCTTTAGTCTCATTTTACTCGTGTTATTTGGGCAAAGAGCCCTGATGGCACAAAAGGGTTAGAATGCAATAATTTGAGGAGCTGCCACAAAGAAATAGGGGTCAACTTGTTTTCCAAAGCACCAGAAGCCAAGGCAAGAAACAAATGGATGGGAACTAATCAAGGAGAGAAGCAACCGGGAATTAAGGAGGAAATTTCCTAACAGCAAGGACAATTAACCAGTGGAACAGAAGTTGCCTTCAGAAGTTGTAGGGGATTCCATCACTGGAGGTTTGTAAGAAGAAACTGGACAGTCACTTATCTGAAATAGTATAGATTCTCCTGCTTGAGCAGAGGGCTGGACCAGAGGTGGTCTTCAGCAGGTTCTGAGCAGTTCTGGAGAACCGGTAGCGGAAATTTTGAGTGGTTTGGAGAACCGACCAATCCTACCTCTGACTGGGCCCACCAACCCCATCTATTCTCTGTCTCCCATTGAGTCACAGCTGATCATCTGGGTCTCCTTTGTTTGCCCTGCACAGAGAATGGAGCTGGAAAGCAGGTTAGTGGGGTGGGGAGGGAATGGGGATTTTGCAGTAACCTTCCCCTGCCATGCCCACCAAGCCACGCCCACCAAGCCACGCCGTGTCCACCAAGCCACACCCACAGAACAGGTAGTAAAAAAAATGAATCCCACCACTGGGCTGTACTAGAAAACCTCCCTTCCAGCTCTATCCTGATTCTGATTCAGTACTACAGGCAAGCCCTGCTCACAGCCTGGAGTTTAACCCTGATGATGGGTCTTCAGGTTGACTCAGCCTTTCATTCTTCTGACATCGGTAAAATGAGGCCCCAGAATTGTTGGGGGCAATAGGTGGACTCTGTAAACCGCTCAGTGAGTGCTATAAAGCACTTTGGAGCGGTATATAAATCTACGTGCTATTGCTATTATTTCTATGAAACTAGAACCGCACCGTGTTTGAGTTTTGTATTTTAATCACTTTTCTACAGGAGTTTTCACAACAGCTCCATCTTCTTCCCAGGGCATCTTTAACAGCATCACCTGGGCAGTTTTACCTATCATCTATTATCCGTACAAACAAATTAGGATGTAAGCCTAGAAATTTGCATGGGGCTGCCGCCTTATTTTCAATTTTAATAGAATATAAACATCCACCTCTTGAATATTTCACAAAGGTTCATGGTCTCACAATGGTGGCCTATTCTGTGTAATGTTTGCTAATTATGAACAACAAAACTACACATTCCAGGCTGGTAAATTACGTGACCCTTTCCATTTTAATGAGACAACAGGATTTTTGCAAAGGGATGTTGTTTCAGTGCTTAATGGTGTCAGCAATGTTGTAATTGTAGGTTGAGGCATATTAACCAAACAATCCTTGAATATGAAGGGGTTCTTGGGAACAGTGCCTTGGGAAAATAAAACTGAGTATTATCATTAAGCCGGTGTCGTTCGTATGCTGCTAATCACTTACTTTATTATGTGTGTATCCATTGTCTTCCTTTAATTGCTCTTTAAATTAAAATTAAAAATAGTTCCAATGCCCAGAGCGGCTGTGATAGTATCTTGATTATGAAGATAACTTTGATAAAGTGGAACATGCCAACAATGCATTATGAGAATCACAGTGATTTAAAGTTATGGTTAATAGCAGATATTCTGCTTCTGGTTTTCTCTCCCCCCCCCTCCCCTTATTCTGGCACATATTGTTTGTTTAATAGATTGTTATTTATATACACTGAGACAATTACATAGGAGGGTCCATGTATTTCAGAATAATTGCTGTAGAATTGGCTTTCGAGAAAAGAGTGTTAGCAATGCTAACCAAGATTCAATCTCTCTCCCTATCCCTCCCTCCCTCCTTCGCTCCTTCCCTCCCTTCTTCTCTCTCTGTATGGGTGTGTGTGTATGAGTACATGGATACCACATATATAGATGGGGAATTATGCTGAAGATGTGTGCCTAAAGTATGTTACCATGTACAAATTAGGTATATCTAGTCTACTGTTTAGTCTACTGACATAGTGGCTCAGGGGCTAAGACGCTGAGCTTGTCGATCAGAAAGGTTGGGAGTTCAGCGGTTCGAATCCCTAGCGCCGCGCAGTGGAGTGAGCTCCCATTACTTGTCCCAGCTTCTGCCAACCTAGCAGTTCGAAAGCACGTAAAAAAAATGCAAGTAGAAAAATAGGGACCCCTTTGATGGGAAGGTAACAGTGTTCCGCGTGCCTTCAGTGTTTAGTCATGCTGGCCACATGACCACGGAGACGTCTTCGGACAGCGCTGGCTCTTCTTCAGCTTTGTAACAGAGATGAGCACCTCTCCCTAGAGCCGGAAATGACTAGCGTGCATGTGCAAGGGGAACCTTTACCTTTAGTCTACTGAAAAGAAGGACCAGGGATGACATGAGAGCAGTGTTCCAATATTTGAGGGGCTGCCACAAAAAGAGGGGGTCAAGCTATTCTCCAAAGCACCTGAAGGCAGGACACGAAACAGTGGATGGAAATTAACCAAGGAGAGAAGCAACCTAGAACTAAGGAGAAACATCTTGACAGTTAGAACAATTAACCACTGGAACAACTTGACTCCAGAAGTTGTGGATGCTCCAACACAGGAAGTTTTTAAGAAGAGATTGGACAGCTATTTGTCAGAAATGGTATAGGGCAGCAGTCCCCAGCCCAAGAGTGGCAGGTGTATGCACACACAACTCCATGTGTGCAAGTGGTGTGCACACACACACACATTCATGCGAGTGCAAGCATCCTCCATTTGAGTTAGTAGAGCTATGTGCATGGGCACAAGTGCCCTCTTCTTACACGAGTGCAGTTTTGTGCACAACTGTGCGCTTGCCCACAGCTCATGCCAGTGGAACTTCACGCATGCTTGCCCATTTCTCCCATGGTCTGCGTTCAAGTAGTGGGCCACAGCCCACAGGTTGGGGACCCTTGTTATAGTGTTTCCTACCCGAGCAGGGAGTTGGACTAGAAGATCTCTAAGGTCCCTTCCGAGCTCTATTACTCTCTTATGTAAACTTGCAACAAATGAAACAAGTACATTGGACATTTTTTTTTTCTTGCAGACATTCATCGGGCTCTTCTTAAATTTTAGATTCAAAAATTGTAACTCATTGATGAGGCTTGCTTGATATTTTTGCTTTAGAAATGTGAAGATCTAGTGTCATACCCCTGTTGGAATCTGATTCTGAGGGGGAGGTTGACTGACAGAGAGCAGGAGTGTGGCTCCAGTGGCTGTGGAGGAAATTGGGGATGGGCACAGTCCAGCTGGGCATTCAGAGGAAGACCCAGGCCTACCCCCTCTTCATCCTAGGGCACACAGGGAGGAACAGATAAGGGAGCAACATGAGTTGCATGATTTACGGTGGAGGAAAGGGCCTTGATCCCCTTCATTGGCTGCAGCTGGGAAGATTGTTTAAAAGGGCAAACTGCGCACAGCAAAGTTGCTGGAAGCAAAGCGTGAAATTATTCTGGTTTGTCAAGTCTTATTGGAATTGTGGCATCCTCCCAAGTGTGTGTGTTTCGTTATCTTTTGATGTCTTCAATCCCTTATCCTTCCCTGTCTCGTTCATTGCTGCAGCCATGGTTTGTGTTGGTTTTTATTTATAATTTATATGTACTTTGAATTTGGACAGAATTTCTTCCCTTTGAAAACTGTTCTTGGGAGAGTTTTTTCTCCAGCCGATGATAACAGGACATTGGGGGCCAAGTTGGAGGCATTAAAGGGACTTTACCTAATTTTGTGACTTTGTTGCTTTTGTGCCACGCCCCTTTGGCTCATCACAATCTAGGGAGAAGAACTGCAGAAGAAAGAAAAGGAGTAAACATCCCCCCCCCTTTTCAAATCCAAGTTCTTAGAGAAAAATGTGAGACCAAAATCTTGAACAGAAATATTCTAACACTCCCCCTTTAAAAAAAAAAAAAAGTGGCTTCCTGGTTCTTCAACTTTTTTGTTCCTGGTGTATGGCAGCCTTTTTCTTAGTTTGATGCCTGCTTTCTCCTGAGCATATAAGGCCTTTGGATATTCATCTATAACAAACAAGCATGGTGGGGGAAATTGGGGGAAAATATCCCTGTATGATTTGCAGCAGTGACATCTGCCCCAAATTGCAATAATGTCATATTGAGGAAATGCCACAATTACATACTTGCTGCAGGATTTCTGATGCAAGTAGGTAAGATGCTGCATTTGCATAATGACATTATGAAATATGTGCCATAATTTGCCTCCCTCGTGACCTCCCATGAAAAGATCAAAGGAAGCAGAAGTCAGAGTTTATAGTTAGTTAATAAGGAGAAAAAGGGCCTCAGATGCCTAATTCTTAGAAAAGAAATGAACTTGTTCCAACACTCAGGTGGGTTTAGAGAGGCAGATTATGCTATCGGTTACCTTTTGATATCAATGTGTAAATGATATAGACTATACAAATGTGTGTATAAATCATGCACACACTTGTGCCAGTCTCCAAAATGCAATTATAGAATCTCATCATTTGCATGACAAAGACATGAGCCACGTCAGTATTTTAAAGCAATCCGTCTCTTTTGGTTATCATATTGATATATTCTCGTTGGGTTCATTTTTATTGTTTATTTTATAGTTCTATCATCTCATCTCATTTCTGTTCTGTTCACCCTCTTTTCATTTCTTCCTCTTTATTGTTGTAAGGCACCCAGATTAACCCCATGGCGAGATAGCAAATAAATTTAACAAGTGAATAAATAAATGATCATGAGCCATGGTGGCACAGTGGTTAGAATACAGTACTGCAGGCTATTTCTGCTGACTGCTGGCTGCCAGCAATTTGGCAGTTCGAATCTCACCAGGCTCAAGGTTGACTCAGCCTTCCATCCTTCCAAGGTGGGTCAAATGAGGACCCAGATTGTTGAGGGCAAGAGGGTGACTCTGTAAACTGCTTAGAGAGGGCTGTAAAGCATTGGAAAGTGGTATATAAGTCTAAGTGCTACTGTTATTGCTATCATACATCCTCAAATTCAAATGGACATTTTTAAGTAACATCAAGGTGAAACCTGTAAGATCTTGCCTCAGCAGTCCCCTCAAGAAAGCAGAACTCCATACCAAAATGGTCAATATCATTTTACACACACACACACACACACACACAGAGAGAGAGAGAGAGAGAGAGAGAGAGAGAGAGAGAGAGAGAGAAATAAAAAATATAACAAAAAGAAAGCAGAACTCTTGAAACAGGCAGCATTTTAAAAGGACCTTTTATTGGGAGATAGTGACAGCAAAGAGAATAGGCAGGATCTGAATTTCCCACGCAAATATATTAGGTTAAAAGTTACTCGGTCATGCTTTATAGTGCCTTATAGCGCTCTCTAAGTGGTTTACAAAGTCAGCCTGTTGCCCCCAACAATCTGGGTCCTCATTTTACTGATATCGGAAGGATGGAAGGGTGAGTCAACCATGAGCTGGTCAGGATCGAACTCCTGGCAGTGAGCAGTGAATTAGTCTACAATACTGCATTCTAAGCACTGCGCCACCAGGGCTCAGTGAGCTAAGAGGACATCTAAAAGGTATCCATCAACTAATGTAGGAGGATAAAAGTTCCTTTTGTTAAGATATTCTACAACTGAATCTACACAAAGATTAAAGAACAGTGGTAGAACCTAGATTTATGAACTCTTTTAGGTGAATGAGTCCGACATTTCAGTGATTCTATAAAATGTGATTCACTGGAGGCGATATCTGAGAGGTAGAAGTTATTACTTCTTTCTTTAAGAATGGTGGAAGAAATATTAAAAGACAAGAAATGGTTCATCCTATCTTCTTCATTGTAAAAATGATGTTGGTGGTGGTAGTGATGGTGATGATGATGATGATGATGATAATATAAAAAACTCAAATCTATGCTATTGACTCTAAAGAATTTGCAGTATGATTTAGACACAAGAGAATGAATTGCTCTTCTCTGCATTCTTTCTAGAGTCCCAACATCTTTTTTACATCATGGTGACCAAAACTGGATGCAGTATACGAGGTGTGGCCTTACCAAGGCATTATAAAGTGGTATTAACATTTCACGTGATCTTGATTCTATCCCTCCGTTTTATGCAGCCTAGGACTGTGTTGGCTTTTTGGCAGCTGCTGGCTCATATTTAAGTGATTGTCCACTAGGACTCCCAAGATCCCTCTCGCAGTTATTACTATTGAGAGAGGTACCACCTTTTCTATACCAGTGCATTTGGGTTTTTCTTGCCTAAATGTAGAACCTTCCTTTTCTCACCATTGAATTTCACTTTGTTAGATAGTGCCCAGTGTTCAAGTCTGTCCAGATCCTCCCGTATCTTAAGCCTGTCTTCTGGAGTGTTGGCTATTCCTTCCAACTTGGTGTTGTCTGCACATTTGATGATTTCCCCATTTATCCCTTCGTCCAAATCATTGAGGAAGATGTTGAAGAGGACTGGACCTAAACCAGAGACTTGGGGTACCCCACTGCATACTTCCCTCCATGTAGATACAGTTCCATTGAGGACTACATGTTGAGTGCGGTTGGTCAGCCAGTTCCGAATCCATCTGGTGGTGATGCTGTCTAACCCACCTTTTTCTATCTGATCAAGTAGTAGGTTGTGATCTACAACCTAAGCAAATATGAAACTATTTACAAATAAGTAGGTTGTGGGTCTACAACCTACTTCTTTGTAAATAAATAGTTTCATATTTGCTTATTGAGAATGTAATTGTGATGTGCTTTTTAACAGTTTTGCCATACACTAAATATATAAATAAGTAGGATGATCATAATGATAGTAACTATGGTGTCCTATTATATAGAAATGAAGTTTAGTTAAGACAAGATTCATATTTATGAGGAGTAAGTTGCAACAAGATACACCTTTCCAAAGGTATTGATACATCTCAGTTCAACTCAGTTGCAGTTCTAATCCGGCCTACTTTTCCTGGCTTTCTTGGGTCCATCCTTGAAAACAGTCGGAGAAAGTGATGACTGCAAAGGTGGATAAATATACCAAATTTTAATGCACAGTTTGTTGTACCTGACATTTACATGCTAGTTAAGAAGCAATAGTACTCAGAGATCTGGGATTTTAGTAACTTCATCCCCGAAAGAAATTGTTGGAATGCATATTGCAAAAGAGGGTAGGGGGTGGAGGAACAGCAATGCTTCTCACAGCTGCAGCTCAAGGGAGCTATTGAGACAGCTAATTTATTGGAGCTTAATAGATTAAAAGTCCAAATTGAGTCTCGTGAAATAAACCTAATCAAATTCTAATCTGCATAATTTCACCGTAAGCAGCAATGGGAAATGTTTGTAATTTATGTTTCAGCAGTTGCCAATCATGTTTTAAAACAAAGCTGCTACATTCGTTTAACAAAAGGATCCCGTTTCTTTTTTGCAGAGGTTTTCAAAATTTGCTTTTCTCTGCCTTCCTTTCTCCCCAGAAAAAGAAATAGAGGGAAACAGAATGTTTTTTTTTCTAACTTGCACTTGTTTTTAATGGTAATCTTTCCATTTACACACCATATAGGTCTCAATAGTATCACAGAACAGTATTAGAAAGATAGAGTGAGAATGAAATAGGAACAGAATTTAGAATTTAGAATTTAGAATTTAGAATTTAGAATTTAGAATTTAGAATTTAGAATTTAGAATTTAGAATTTAGAATTTAGAATTTAGAATTTAGAATTTAGAATTTAGAATTTAGAATAGAACACAATACAATTTAGAATACAATATAATAGAACAGAACACTATAAAATACAATTTAGAATAGAATGGAGTGGTGTGGTGTGGTGTGGAATGGAAGGGGAGAGGAGAAGGGAAGGGAATGGAAGAGGAGAAGAGAATGCAGGATAGGATAGGATAGGATAGGATAGGATAGGATAGGATAGGATAGGATGGGGGATGGAGGTGAGAAGATAGAGAAGATAGAGAAGATAGGAGATAGAGATGGAGATGTCACAAGATAAATACCACCAGGGCATGGTCTGGATTTTACCTGTTTTTTAGAAGCTCAGAAGTCAAGTTCTTCAACTTCCATGCTAGAATAAATTCAGTGAAAATTTTCCAAAGTACCAAGTAAAAAGTACCAAATCAACAGCACGATGTCCTAACACAGAGTGATTATATCTGCTCACCAATGTAGCACTGATTGTTGTTGAACTGGACAGCAACAAAATAAAGCCATTCCCCCACCTCAAAACCAGATGTCATTTATTGTTACCTTCCACCACCTTCATCCTGAGCTGGTTGGATATTTCATCCAAGAGATTGTCTCATTTTACTTCCCAGGTTGCGTTTCACAAAGCAGTCCATAGCGAGCACCTTAACATTTTGAGACTTGTGTGCCCAAAGAGGACAATTGCAAGGGAAATAGGCATGCAGAAGATTTCTTGTAAGAGTGCCTTGTATCATGGAAACAAAGAGAGTAAGGTCTCCCTTTCATTGCTTAGTACTATGGACTTGGTACATCGGGTGAACCTTTATCTAAATATGAAAAACAATATAATTGCCACTTTACCATATAGGGATACTCCAACTTAACAGGGCATTGGATAAAAACATTCATATTATGGCCGTTTATGCTGAGAGGGGTGAAAGAACAGGTTGACAACTACAGACTGCTCCATGGAGGCCTTCATCTTCAACTATCCAGCCCATAATGATTACCGTTATCCCTGAGCCAGCTGCTTTGGGGGCAGAGACATTCTGCAGCCTAGCTCATTTCTTCAGGAATCCTGAAAGTATTGATTTTGTAGAAATGTGCCTGTACAACTCTCCTAACTCCCTTGTGCTAACTTTGCTGAAACTAGTTGAGTTTGACATGGAGTTAATAAACTCTTGGCCGAAGCAGGAAGCACCAAATTCACCTTGAAGTTTGCAGTCCTGGCTTCTTTGATATACTCATTTATTTATCAAATTTCAAGGCTGCGTTAATCTTCTAGGCAGCTTTCGACTAGTACAATAAATCAATTGTAGTAGAGTAACAACCAATAGATGTTGAACCACCAAATTAGCAACCAGTATCCAAAATAGTCACAATTTAATACAGCATCGCTCATAAAAACTCATCAGATAATCTACCCCAAATGCCATCAGAACAATGACATTCATTTGCTCAACTTAGTAGGAAAGAGGTGTTGTAACTAAAATAACTAAAGTAGAATTGAGCCATCTTTAAAAATAATGGTTGTAAAAGGAATACCCCATTTTATTTTGGGTTATCAAACAAAATGTTCTAGAAGGTACTAGTCATTTTAAAAAATCATTTTCATGTGTGGTGGGGTAATCAAACAAGTTATTAATCCATCAAAACTTTATTTGGTCATAGATCAGCATGTAGAATACAGAAATCACAGAGTCAAGTGCAGGAAATTAGAAAATCCAGGCAGTTCAAATGAATATCAGAGTTTATTGCAAGCTTAAGCATCTACAAGAATCTGAACTATTAATAGTCAAAGGAAATTGATGGTAGATAAGAATTCAGTGGAATTCAAGGTGCGCTAGACTTAGATCTCTTGTGGGTGAGTTATCAATTATTAAGTTATTATGTTATATCAAGTAAGAGCCATGGTGGTACAGTGTTTAGAATGCAGCATTGCAGGCAAACTCTGCCCACTGCCAGGAGTTTGATTCTGACTAGTTCAAGGTTGATTCAGCTTTCCGTCCTTCTGAGATCAGTAAAATGAGGACCCAGGTTGTTGGGGTCAGTTTACAACTCTGTAAACTGCTTAGAGAGGGCCGTAAAGCACTCTGAAATGGTATACACAATAAGTCTAAGTGCTATTGCTATCAATCAATCAAGTCTTTATTCGGTCATAGACCAACATGGGGAATGCAGAAATCACAGAATCAAGCGTGGGAAATCAGGCAATCTTCAAATTGAATATGAGGGTTTATTGCAAGCTTAAAGCTACAAGAATCTGAACTACTAATAGTCAAAGCAAATTGGTGGTAGATAAGAGTCAAGAGGATTCAAAATAGGTTGGATGCAAAGGGACTCAAGACTGATGAAACATTTGACTCCTCCCTTGGGCTCAGCCTAGTTAATTAAAATAAAATACAAAAGAAAAGCTTTGTGTGTGTGTATACACATAGACACTAACATATCTAAGAGTGGTTAGAGTTAATCCTATGATGTATAGCATAGACTGCTGAGCAATACTTGGCTATAGACAGAGAGATGGAGTCAGATTAATCTTATCTTAAGATAAAATGAATTAGAATGACCAACTTCTTTAATAGAAAGTGGAAACAATAACTCCTGCAGGCTCCTGCAAAAAAGGAACAACACTCTATAGCATATTCTGTCAATTCAATGAAACAAGTTATTATCCTGGAAATTTAAAGGGCAAAATTTTGTTCTTCTTTTTAGTTCGTTAAGAGGGGCATCTGGAGTAGCGTGAGTGCACAATAAATCAATAGATATTTGTAGACAAAGAAGAAGAAGAAAATCTAGAAATGGAAAAAATGGCGGGGATAAAAGCATTCCCAAAGCAATAGATTTATTTCTGGATGTTTTCTGAAGAAGTTAAATGTTATCATGTGAATATAAGGTTACTAGCTTGATACCCATGCTTCACTACAAAACTATGTGGTGGGGCTTAGTTTTGGGGGAGGAAAATAAGGAGAAAAATTTCTACCTCTGCCTACCAGCATCCATCAGTATTCATCTGGCTAGCATCCTGTCAGTGAGAGAGAGAGAGTTGAGGGCTGTTTGGAAACTGAAAGAATATCTGCTGTGTGAGCAAGAAGGAGACAGCAAGGAGCCTGGGCATGACTTAGCTCAACTGTTCTGTACTAAAGCTGCTTCATGCTGAAACTCTTCTCCTCTGCTTGTGTTTTGCCTTTGGAACAGATTTCTTTTCAGGTGGGGTGGGGGAGTAGAACTCCTTAGCATCAGAGCATGTTAATAATGATATTTGTAGGCTTTACAGTTCTGGAGATTTTGTGCATGAGTGGTATTTCACTTTATTTGTGTGTATGTATGTATGTATGTATGTATGTATGTATGTATATATACATATTTGTTTTCTTAAGTTTTCGCGGGTACTTACATGTACTTTAAAAGCACAACTACAATGACGTGGGAAAATACCCGAACAAAGCTGAATGCCATACATATATACATATATATACATATATATACATGTTTTCTTAAGTTTTCGCGGGTACTGACATGTATGGTATTCAGCTTTGTTCGGGTAGTTTCCCACGTCATTATAGTTGTGCTTTTAAAGTTGTAGCAAGAGAAATTTTCTAACAGCAAGAACTTTTAACCAATGAAATGACTTGCCTGCAGAATTTGTGGTACTCTAGCACTGGAGATTTTAAAGAAGAGATTGGACAACATTTTTGTGAAATGGTATAGGATTTCCAGCAGAAGCAGGGGGTTGGACTAGATGACCTACAAGGTCCCTTCCAACTCTGTTAATCTGTTAATCTCTGAGCTGTTTAAATAACACCTCATATTCTTTATTTTTAAGCACAGCTGGTCTGAATTTGCTAGTTTTAAATTTGAATTCTTTAGCCAAGACTCCAGTTTGATATCTTTTGATTAGCACAATTCTGTTGTTCTGTCATGAAACTCTGGTAACATCATTCGCATTTCTCTTGGGAATTCAGGGCTTTGATATACAGTGTTGTATAATATTCACATGTAATTTGACTGCATCCCTGTGAGTAAATTAACCAGGCTGATTTAAAATTGATCGATTGGTAATCAGTAGATATTTCTGTATATCTTAACTAAAAGGGCACTTTTGAATGACTGTCCTTTGAGATATCTGGAAGTTCCTTGGATGGAAAAGTACTGAAGGTTGAATAAGAGCATTAGACACAAAAGTTAAGTGATTAATTTCTCATCAAAAATAGACTGATCTGAATCTAGTTGGATATTTGTATATGTTGTGGCTCATACCAGGGCACAATATATGTATGGAGACAGAGATGTGGGTAGTGTTCATTGTTTTAGAGAGAGAAAGAGAGCAAAATTGCAAAGAAATGAAGCACTTCTTTCAAATTATTCTAATTCTTTAAAGTGGTTGGTGACCCAACTCTGGTGGACTTATTGCCAGTTATTATTCTTTTGCAATGAATTCAGGGTTTCTAACACACTGTTCACTACTACTTTGTGATTTTTAACTAATGCACTAAAGCCACATTCAGGGATTTCCAAATCATGCACAAGGTTGTAGATTAATCCTAATTCTTCTCCCTGGAATAGGGAGATCTGTAGGATGCATCTATTAGTGGGAGAGAGGAACAGAGAAATGAAGGGGAAGAAAGGAAGAGAAAGGAAGGGAAGGGGAGAAAGGAAGAGGAAGGGAAGGACAGAGGGATGGAGGGGAAGAAAGGGAGAGGAAGGAAAGAAGGGAGGGAGGGAGGGAGGAAGGGAGGGACAGAGGGGGAGAAAGGAAGGAGGGTGGGAAGGAAGGAAGGAAGGAAGGAAGGAAGGAAGGAAGGAAGGAAGGAAGGAAGAAAGAAAGAAAGAAAGAAAGAAAGAAAGAAAGAAAGAAAGAAAGAAAAGTCCTATGAAATAGAAGAAAACATTTCCACACCCCAGGCAGCTTTTACATCTCATGACTTAGCGTGTTTCTGATGCTGTAATGAAATATTGTTTTCCTAATATTCTGTGACCTGAATTTTTTTCCTGCTTTATGGGAGCAAATCAGTATTTTCTCTAGTCAGCATTTGATGATGGATGTCAAAATACAGGCCATGTATAATGCATATCTAGCATTAGCAATTTAAGGTGTTTACTTGTCAAGCCGAAGAAATTCAAAAACTTCACTTTCACTGAATTCACCCAGCTGTCACTTGCAGTTTTTCGTAATTTCAAATGAAAGTTGTGATAAAACAGTTTAGGTTACCTTGCCTTTCTTTCTTTTTTCTGAAGGAAGAAAACAGACAGCATCTAAAATTTATGCTGCAAGCTGAAAGGCAGGCAACAAAGAGGAATTTTCTGAAAGATGGGCGGGGGGAAGCACCTTTCTGGCTCTCTTTGACCTCCTGCTTTTTGGAAAAGTTCAAACAATGATATTTAGCAATTATATGCCTCTTTTTATACAAGAAGCAATTTTGTAAAAAGAAGTGCCACACTGATTCCCAGAAAGCAATAGGTAAACTTATACATGTGGCACAGTATAATGGAATTTGCTCCTTTCAAACCCAGTTAAAATTATTAGCTCTAGTTAATAATTTGTTTACAACAAAATAATAAGAAAATGCATCAGTCTGTGTATCAATACAAGACAATATATCTAGCCCAGGGTTGAACACTGATGGTGTTACTAGTTTGAGAATGGAATGGAATGGAATGGATTGGATTGGAATGGAATGGAATAGAATAGAATAGAATAGAATAGAATAGAATAGAATAGAATAGA